ACACCAACCTGACCGTGCACACCTCACACCAACCTGACCCTGCACACCTCACACCAACCTGAATGTGCACACCTGGACACCAACCTGACCGTGCACACCTCACACCAAACCTGACCCTGCACACCTCACACCAACCTGACCGTGCACCCCTCACATCAACCTGACCGTGCACACGTCACACCAACCTGACCGTGCACACCTGGACACCAACCTGACCCTGCACACCTCACACCAACCTGAATGTGCACACCTGGACACCAAACCTGACTGTGCACACCTGGACACCAAACCTGACCGTGCACACCTGGACACCAACCTGACTGTGCACACCTGGACACCAAACCTGACCGTGCACACCTCACACCAAACCTGACCCTGCACACCTCACACCAACCTGACTGTGCACACCTGGACACCAAACCTGACTGTGCACACCTGGACACCAACCTGACTGTGCACACTGACCTCGGACACCTGGATCTGACCTGCTCAGAGGCACGAAGGAAAAGGAGGGGGCAGCTCTCAGTGACATCATTCCCACTGCTGGCTATCAATTACCAATTCATCACCAGTTAATTATCAATTAATTCCTCCCCAACCTGCCGCCTGCAGGCAGAGCCTGGGAGCTCGGAGGATCCTCTGGGAAGGATCCTGGAAGGGGCCCCAGGGGATTTGGAAGGCAAATGTGGAGCTGGGCAGCAGCTGTAAGGTGATGCTGATGGTTATCACCTGCCTCCCTCCCGTTCCCATGGGCTGGGTGGAAAAACACTCCTGGCAGAGGAAACGGAGCCCGGGAGCCAAAGGTCTCCCAGGAGGACGTCATGGTGTCTTGGAGCTGGCAGGGCTGGGAAATGTTCCCACTGTGTTTTCAGGGAAGGCTTGGCTGATGAAAATGATTTCTGATGACCTCCTCACATCCAGGAGAAAACCTCCTCCCGCCACCAGCGCTTCCCATGCTCTCCCTGCAGCCTCCCAAGGGATTTTGTCCCTTGGCGTGGAGGGGTTTGGGGTCTGATGGGGACATCTGAGGGCTAGGAGGGTTTTTCTAAGGAATGGGAGGTCCAGGAGGTAGTTTTGGGGCATAAACCCAGGGTTTCAGGTGGTAACATTGTCCAGGTTCCACCAAGAGACATTTGACCCTCTATTTACCCTGCCTAGCTGTCTCCAGGCCCTGCTCCAGACTCATCCACGCTGGTGTCCATAATTCCCTCACCACACACCCCCAAGGTGCCCCTGAACAACGCCCACAAGGCAGCCCCCCAAACCCCTCATTGCCTGTCCCACAGACGTGCCCCCAGACCTGGAGGTGTCCTTATCTGGCCCCAGGGCCACCCTGCTCCTCAGCCAGGACATCCCCCCATCCTGGGAGCCCTGCTTCTGAGCCAGGTCCCTATTTTGGAGTCAAAGTCATCCACAGATGTGCAGAGGGTGACGGGAATCAAAACAATTCCTTCAGGAATCCCAGCAGTGCTCCCGGCCCAGCCCAACCGTGCCTGTCCCCCCCAAACTCCTCACAGACTCCCCCAGATTTGCTCAGCCCCCCGAGGAGCGAGGCCTGGTGCTGGGAAGCCCCGATGGGCAGAATGACCCAGCGCCGAGTGGGGAATATGGGGTGGAAATGAGGGTGGCAGTGCCACGGGCTTAGCAGCAAGTGGAGCTGGCACTGCTCGGGCTGCCCCACCCTCCCTCTGGGACAAAAACCTGGGATTTGGCACAGCCCCGGCAGGGTGGGAACGAGGTGGGATTTGAGGTTCCTTCAAGCCAAACCAGTCTGTGGCTCAGTGGTCCCCAGCCTGGCCATGTCCTGGGAGCCCTGGGGGCCCTGGGACAAGGTCTGGCTCGCCATGACCCAGCCGTGGAGGAGCCCAGGTGGGCACTGAGCGGGTGGGAGGAGATGCAGAGCCTGGTGAAGGAGGATGACGGTGGGCATCACCGAGGGGCTGTGCCTGAGGGCTTGGTGGTGGTACTGGGCTCCTCTGGACTCATGGAATTGTTTGGATTGGAGGATACCCCAAAGCTGATCTCATTCCACCCCCTTCCATGGGCAGGGACACCTTCCACTATTCCCCACTGCTGCAAACCCTGTCCAGCCTGGCCTTGAACCCCTCCAGGGCTGGGGCAGCCACAGGTTCTCCAGGACTCCCTGCCTGGCCCTTTCCTCCCACCCCGCGGCTGGGACAGGCCGAAGGACTCACTGCTGCTTCCGGGTGAGCTCCTGCTCCTTCTGCACCAGGTCCTGCTTGAGGGACGCCAGCATCTCCACGCTGACGTCCACCTGGCGGGACAGCTCCGACGCCCGGTCCTCCAGCTCCTGCTTCTCCCGGCTCAGCCGCAGGCTCTCCTGCTTGGCCTTCTCCAGCTCCGAGCTCTTGCGGTCCAGCTCCACCTGGAGCCGGCCCACCTGCGAGGCGATCTTCTGCTCCACCTCCTCCGTCAGCTTCTCCAGCCGCTTGTCCACCTCCAGCTTCTCGAAGGCGCGGATCTTGAGGCGGGCCAGGCCCTCCTCGTAGGCCGAGTCGACGGCGGCCGGCGGGACGGGCGCGGGCGCCACGGCCTTGCCGCGGGTGAAGATCTCGGTCAGCGGGATCTCGATCTCGTGCACGTAGCGCGGCGAGGGCGACGAGGCCGGCGCCGGCTCCAGCTCGTCGGCGGGGACCAGGTCGCAGGAGAAGCGCTGGTCCTTGCCCTGGAAGGAGGTGCTCTCAAAGTAGTCCCTGCGGGCGGCCGGGCTCAGCAGGGCCCCGTCGGCGGCCAGCGGGAAGACGGCGGCATCGCAGATGCTGTTGGTCTTGGAGAGCACGTAGAGGGTCTCGTAGGTGTGGTTGTACTCCAGGTGCGCCCGCAGCGAGGACAGGCTGCGGAAGCGCTTGTGCTCGCCGCAGCGCGGGCAGCGGTAGGGCAGGTCCAGCGAGGCCATGGCTGGCTCCGCTCGGCGGCGCGCGGGGCCCGCTCACGGCGCCGCGCCCGGGCCGCGGGGGCGCGCGGGGCTGGCCGGGGAGCCCCGGGCACGGGGCCGGCGGCTGCGCTGGGACATGGCGCGGGCACGGCCCGGCACGGCACGGCGGGATCCGGCACTCCCGGGGGCGGTCAGCATCGAGCGGTGCCGGGCGCTGCAAGACACGGGCGTCAGGGATACGGGCTGGGGGGTCCCCAGAAATCCCGCCTTGGTCCTCCTGCTGCGCCCCCATCCCGCCCTCCCGCGTTCCAACCACCCGCGTGCATCCCTTGGAAGGGCACGTGGTGCTGAAGGGTGCAGAGCCCTGGGAATGTGCAGAGCCCTGGGAATGTGCAGAGTCCTGGGATTGTACAGAACCCTGGAAATGTGCAGAGTCCTGGGATTGTACAGAACCCTGGGAATGTGCAGAGCCCTGGGATTGTACAGAACCCTGGGAATGTGCAGAGCCCTGGGATTGTACAGAACCCTGGGAATGTGCAGAACCCTGGGAATGTGCAGAGCCCTGGGAATGTGCAGAGCCCTGGGAACGTGCAGAGCCCTGGGATTGTACAGAGTCCTGGGAATGTGCAGAACCCTGGGAATGTACAGAGCCCTGGGATTGTACAGAGCCCTGGGAATGTGCAGAGCCCTGGGAATGTACAGAGCCCTGGGATTGTACAGAGCCCTGGGATTGTACAGAGCCCTGGGAATGTGCAGAACCCTGGGAATGTACAGAGCCCTGGGATTGTACAGAACCCTGGGAACGTGCAGAGCCCTGGGATTGTACAGAGCCCTGGGAATGTGCAGAACCCTGGGAATGTGCAGAACCCTGGGATTGTACAGAACCCTGGGAACGTGCAGAACCCTGGGAATGTACAGAGCCCTGGGATTGTACAGAACCCTGGGAATGTACAGAACCCTGGGATTGTACAGAACCCTGGGAATGTGCAGAGCCCTGGGAATGTGCAGAGCCCTGGGAATGTACAGAACCCTGGGGAGGTGCAGAGCCCTGGGAACGTGCAGAGCCCTGGGAATGTGCAGAGCCCTGGGGAGGTGCAGAACCCTGGGAATGTGGAGTACCCTGGGAACGTGCAGAACCCTGGGGAGGTGCAGAACCCTGGGAATGTGCAGTGTCCTGGGATTGTACAGAACCCTGGGAATGTGCAGAGTCCTGGGAATGTGCAGAACCCTGGGATTGTACAGAACCCTGGGATTGTACAGAACCCTGGGGAGGTGCAGAGCCCTGGGATTGTACAGAACCCTGGGGAGGTGCAGAGCCCTGGGAATGTGCAGAACCCTGGGAATGTGCAGAACCTTGGGAATGTGCAGAACCCTGGGAACGTGCAGAGCCCTGGGAACGTGCAGAGCCCTGGGAATGTGCAGAACCCTGGGAACATACAGAAACCTGGGAATGTGCAGAGCCCTGAGAATTTGCAGAGCCCTGGGATTGTACAGAACCCTGGGAATGTACAGAACCCTGGGAATGTGCAGAGCCCTGGGAATGTGCAGAACCCTGGGAATGTACAGAACCCTGGGGATGTGCAGAACCCTGGGAATGTGCAGAACCCTGGGAATGTGCAGAACCCTGGGAATGTGCAGAGCCCTGGGAATGTACAGAGCCCTGGGAATGTGCAGAACCCTGGGAATGTGCAGAGCCCTGGGAATGTGCAGAGCTCTGGGATTGTACAGAACCCTGGGAATGTGCAGAACCTTGGGAATGTACAGAACCCTGGGGATGTGCAGAACCCTGGGAAGCTCCGGAGCCACTGGAAGTTCCACAACCCTTGTGAAGACCCACAGCTTTTGGGAAGCTCCACAGCCCTTGGGGAGCTCCACAGCTCCTGGACTCGATGATCTTAGAGGGCTTTTCCAGCCTGAATGATCCTGTGGTTCTGCGAACCCTCGGGAAGATCCGTAACGGCTGGGAAGGCTCCCACCCCTCGGGAAGCTTCACAACCCCCTGGGGGAACACAGCCACCAGGAAGGTGCACATCCCATGGGAATCTCGCTCCATCCATCCGAGTTTGTCACAGGGGGTGGCAGGGGTGGCCTTTTTCTCTCTTGAGGCATCAGGGGTCCCCAAGGGCCAGGACCATCCCTGTGCCCCACACCAGGAGCAGGTGCTGGGATCTCCCCTCTCCAAGAGAAGGCCGACCCACTCCTGCTGGATGAGCCCATGAAGCCTGGAAAGGGATTCATCCCAAGAGTTCCCATCCAGCCCTGGGCTGTCCGATGCAGGGGACACGGTGGCTCCTCCTGCCTGGGGGTGGTGAGGGTTCTGTGGGACCTGGTTCATCCCCCACTCACAAAATCCTCCACAGCACCACTGGGGGAAAGCCCACCCCTGTGAAATGGGATGACCCAGTGAAAATCCACCCCAGGAGGCTGCCGAGGTCCCCTCCAGCCTCGAGGGCACAAACTCACCTCAGGGCACAATACTTTCATTTTTCATTTGTCATCTTTTACCGAGGGCAGCCGTGGGTGGGAGTATCCCCTGCCCATCCCTCTGCAATATCCCCCTGAGGGCTCTTCCCACCACCCTAAAAGCCCTCAGAGCCCTCCTGCATCCCATGGCCAGCAGTGGTGAGCCCTGAACGGCCGCGGAAGCTCCATCCATCCCCGCTGGTCCCCAGGGCAGCATCCCCGGTGCCTCAGCATCCCCTCAGAGGGACAGCCGGGCCACGAGGCTGGGGAACCATGTTTTAAGGGAAAAATCAGCAACGGCAAGAACTCCACGCCAGAAATAAAACCAGGGTGAGCCTGGTTTTGTGAGGGTTTGTGACCCGCTTGGCCGCGTTTTGGGGTCGGTACCAAACACGCCCTCCCTGATGGAGCCCACCTGGCCCGGCCCGGCCGGAACCCGATCCGCGGCGAGCACAAAGCGCGTCCGGCAGCTCCGGCCGCTGCCGGGGGATGAGAAAGCGCTTTTCCATTTTCCAGCGCACGGATGGGGAGCCGTGCCGTGGTGCCTCAGGCCTGGATCCCTCCCGCGTCCCCCGGGGCGCCCGAGCAGCCCCAGCCCGAATTTCCCGGCCGAAATGCAAGGCGGGATCCGGCCCAGGTGGATCGGGAAGCGCACGGAGCTTTCCCCGTCCCGGCCGGGTCCTCCCGCGGCCGCAAACCTCTCCTCGCTCCCATCTCCACGGCAACCAGCAGGAGGGAGGGAATGGCTCGTGGAGTGATTGCTGCGCTAATGCAACCCACCGGCAGCCGGAGCCGGGAAGCGCTGCCGGCCGCCGGGGCTGCAGCATCGCCGGCTGCTCCGGCGCCGCCACCTGCCATCCATCATGGAGCCTTCCCCGGCATTGTCTAACGCTCCTCTGCCCCCCCGCCCCAAAAACACCATCGGCAGCAGCTCCCCTCCTGCCTGGAGAGGAGGGGGATGAGAGGAGAGGTGGTGGGGGTGATGGGGCTGGAGGGTGATGGGGCTGGAGGGTGATGGGGCTGGAGGGTGATGCCGGGTGGAGGGTGATGCCGGGATGGTGGGTGATGAGTCTCGAGGGTGATGTCGGGATGGAGATGATGGGAGGCTGGGGAGTGATGCCAGGGTGGAGGTGATGCCGGGTGGAGGGTGATGCCCGCGCCGCTGGTCCCATCCTTCCCCGGCGCTCCAGCGGGGTGGGAGCACCGTGGTGGGCGATGCCGGCTGGGGCTGAGGCACTGAGGGCTCGGGGGAGGTGGGCATGAAAATCCGGATGGATTTTTTGTGCCCCCAGCCCCTGGAGCAGGGAGCGGCGGGTCCGTCCTCACACCCCGGCAGCGGCTTTGTCCCCGCTGCGTCCCCCTGCTCCCGGGGGCCCTGGCTGAGGAGCATCCTGGGGACGAGCCACCGCCTCCCGGGGCACCATCCGCGCTCCATCCCGTCCCCTCTCGCCCCGTACCTGCTCCTGGCCGCCGACCTCCCGCGCCGGGCTCCTCCGGCGAGGGCAGCATCGCTCCCGCTCGCCCGCGGGCACCCCGAGCCGGGGCTGCGGAGGGGGACGGAGCCCGCACAGCCGCTCCGCCGCACAAAGGAGCGGCTCAGGGCTCTGCCGAGCGGCTCAGGGCTCTGCCGAGCGGCTCAGGGCTCTGCCGGGGCGGGGGGATGCGGGGCCCGGCGGATGCGGGCGCAGGGATGCGGGGCAGCAGGGATGCAGCCCGCGGGAAGCATCCGGCTCCCCGCGGCCAGCACCTCCATGCCAGGCAGGCCCCGGGGAAGGAGGGAGGGAGGGAGGGATGGAGGGAGGGAGGGTGGTGGCTGCGGGGTGGGGGGAGGAGGAGGAGGCGGGGGAGGAGGAGGAAGGAAGGAGGCCGAGGCTGAAGGCCCCGGCGGGGCGCTGGGAGGGTGGCGGCTCTGGCACCCTGGGGAGGGCGGGCCCCGGGGCGCTGGGGGCTCAGCGCGGGCTCAGCATGGCGAGCGAGGGAGGGATGCGGGGATGCAGGAGGGCGAGGCCGGCAGCCGCCGCCTCCCCTGCCGCCGGAGCCGGGCTGCCTCGCCGCCGGTCCCTCCCGCACAGCTCCCTCTGCCTGTCTCCCCACGAACGCGGCTGCCACGGCAGCCCCCGGCCCCGGAGCCCCTTCCCCGCCGCCCCTGGCAGGGATTGGGGTGCCGGGTGTGTGCCCAGCTGGGCACCTGCGCTGCTCCTGCCCCATCCCGGGCCGGACACACAGGGGCCAGGACACGGCCTTGGTCCCAGGACAGTCCCTGACCATCCCGGCTCCATCCCTGCCATGATCCCAGTTGGGTCCCCGAGCATTCTGCTGTGCCCCTGACACCCTGGCTGTGCCCCTGGCACCCTGGCTGTGTCCCTGACACCCTGGCTGTGTTCCTGCCTTGGTCCTGGCTGTGCCCCTGGCACCCTGGCTGTGTCCCTGCCTTGGTCCTGGCTGTGTCCCTGACACCCTGGCTGTGTCCCTGGGCACCCTGGCTGTGTCCCTGCCTGGGTCCTGAGCTGGTACCTGATCATCTTGGCTTCATCCCTGGCTTGATCCTGGTCCGAGGATCAGGGGTACCCCCGAGTCCCCTGGCTCGGTTCCCAGCTTGGTGCTGCTCTGGT